CAATCTCCGGAGTCTACTATAATCTTTATGCTAGTAAAGATTATAATAGTATATTTAATATAAAGATTATCTTAGGGATAATATAAATCTTGTATGTTAAATAGTAGAAAATATATCAATAATATTTTGAAGAAAATATTATAACAATTTTCTACACCCAAAATAATAACTTTTGGAACTCAAATATTATGCTACTGCATCTCTTCTCTTGGCCGAATTGCTTTCTTAAAGGAGAAAGAGTATATTAAATAGTAGAAGGGAATAATGTAAAACATTTTCAAAAGCAAAACTCCAAAAGTACATCCCTTATCATGAAGTGTAGTGGGAGATAAAGCCCCACACACACACCACATTTGTACAATGTACGAAAATAGAAAGGGGAAGAATTTAATTCTCCTCCTCTCAAATGTTCAAAGTGTATTTTATTTGACATCAATAATTTTTATGATATAAAATAAAATACCCAAAACATTTTAAAACAAGTATATAAAATATACTTTAAAATAAGTTTTGTCAAAATAATTATTTTCATAATTAAAATGACACTCCAAAATAAAATGTACACAATATAATATATAATCTAATATATACATATAAATGTACACGTTATCAAGTATATTATATATATATATATATATATATATATATATATATATATATATATATATATATATATATATATCAAGTATATTATATATATATATATATATGAAAGCCACTGAGGGTGGGAAATACTCATTCATGAAAGCCTTATGCAAATCATCCCATTTAGTAAAATGACCCGCTGGAAAGTTATTTAGCCACCGTGCGGCTCTATCTCAAAGAGAAAAAGGAAAAAGGCAAAGTCGTACGGTGTCATTGTCTACCCCATTTATTTTAAAGGTTGAACAAGTACGGGTAAACCAAAGAATGTGAGCCCTAGGGTCCTCGTGTGTACATCCCACTAAACTGATTACTAGAAACTATTTGAATTATGGCGGGTTTTATTTAAAAAGAGGCGGCTGTAATGGCTGGGGTGCCAATACAGTCGTTTTCTTCAAAAATAAGGGTCATAGTGTCTAAAACAGTATGCCTAGGTCTATTCTCCCCCATTTCTTGATTATTCAAATTATTTTGATTTGAAAAATAATATTACGATTAGATCTAAAAAGTCTTTCAGGATCTTCACAAAATTGTAAAACCTCTCCTGCACTAGCAGAACGAGTGTGCAAAAAATAATCAAGAACTTATTAATTTAAAACTAATTTTTTATTTATTTAATTTTTAAATAAAAAATAATTAGAAAATAACAACCATGCCAATCACCGGCAACGACGCCAATTGACGAAGCTAAATATAGTGGTAAGTCAATAAATTAGCCGAGAAGAACTCAGGTCGTCTCGCAAGGATTGGCAAAGGGAAGTATTTGTTAATTAACTAGATATTTTAATTTAACAAAGTAAATAATCTTGATCTAGAACAAAAACTTAGAACAATCAAAATTCAAGCAGAATGATAGCAATAACCAAATTAATTCAATCAATGATTTAGAAACAGGTATGAATCGAACAGGTATATGGACTAAGGTAATAATCGATCTAGATTAAATTAACTTCTTGATTAGTTAGATTTTAATCCATTAACTTATCTTATTTTTAGGCCTCTTTAATGTGTCTAAATATGGTTGGCTGGATTATTTGTCCTAACTCATAGACAAGCTAGACTAATAATCTCCAAGGATTAATTAATAAATTGGCCAGATCTCTTAATTAGTTAATCTCATTTTAGACAAATAATTCAATTAACCAAGTAACTAACTTAACTTTAATTAAATACATTAGCCCATACCCTTAATTCAATTCATACCTTAAAATAAATTAAACCACGGAAAGCCATAATAGCAAGCAATTTAAAATAAAAAAATACTTTTATTGATAAGAGAAAAGTTTACAAGAAAGCTTACAGATCTTGTGGAATTGAATACAACTCTGAGGAATCTTTAAATCAACACTCTAGTACTCTAAGAAGGGATTCTCGAACTTTAAAATGGAGAAGAGAAGTGGATTTTTGGGATGGTGGAGAGGGGAAAACCGAGGTGGGGTATTTATACCCGAGACGAGTCACAAGCAATCAGACAAGCGGCCGCCTATCAGCCCGCCACCGCCACTATGGAACATTATGGATCAGGGAAGCTTTGGGAACGTCGACAGGCAGGCAAGCAGGTGGGCGCCTGCTAGCCTGCCGGAGCCATCCTTCGCTTCCTGCACGTAACTTCGCCGCCAGAGCCCAAACTCGTTGCTTGGTTCAACTCAAATGGCGGCCAAGTAGGCGGCCGCTTGCCTGGTTGCTTGTCGTCACTCGCGTAGTTTCGAAGTCTATTTGCTAAAATCCGATCTCAGAACATCTTTTCTTCTACTCCGACCTCCAATTCCACTCTAATAGGAAGATATATTTAACTTCTTGTCAAAATAAAACATATTTTTATCTTTTCCTGGCCCATTCAATTTTACTACTCTAGATATTACAAAGATAACTTTTTATTGAAAAACTTCTTTAATAAGATGAAAAATAATTCTTATGTATTCAAACACCAAGGTTCAAGTGACATTGAACCTTGATGTCATGG